TATCTTGCTAGAATGCACTTTGGTCATAGATCTATCATTGATCTTGTCTCAGTTGCTATTGTTCTGCACAGCCGCATTTCGCAATATTTTATTATTTGTGTGAATTAATTAACCCGTTATGAAGAATTGTAGATTTTGTTGTTTTTTTATAATAGCTAATACAATAACAAATAAAACTGTGTATTTAGATTTTAGAATGTAAAGTAAAAAGTAAACAAAAAACTTATTTATTTGATGGGCAAATTTTGGTTGCTTTTGTTGTGCACAACACTGTATATTCAAAACCTATGTCCAAATGGCAAAAACCATTTATCCTTATGGAATACTAGCAAAGGTATAAATTCCCCCATAGAATCCGATTCTTTAATAAGAAACTCTCTCGGAAACTGGGCGCTAAGCGATGAAGGAAAATTTAACGTTTTAGTTAGATTGCAAAAAGGGACCAGGATATGATAACATCTCACCCATCATGATAAAAAAAAATTTACTGTTTTTGGCCATAAATTTCATCACGAGACTTTTTAATGCCATTATTAAATTTGGCTTTTACCCAACAGAGTGGAAAACACCCATGATTATTATGATTCATAAATCAGATATAGATCCCACGCTTGGCTCTTCATACACTCCCACCAGTTTGGTTTTAAAGAAAAACATGGAACTATTACCTGCAAATGTCCAGTCAATTTAAGAATCGTTTCTGTAGAATAGAACCTTTAAAGTCAAATATAAATTATACACTTCTACTAATTTCCCAATAGAAGCTTGCGTTCCACAAGGAAGTGTTCCAGGCCCTGTCTTGTGTGTACATCTGATATCCCAATAACTAGTTTAGTTATCACCACTACGTTTGCCGATGATACGGCAATTTTATGCTGAAACAAAAACGCCGAACTAGCTTCGAACAACTTCAATCTCACTTATTTCGGTTGAAGAAATGGTTGCCAAAACAGCGCATTAAAATTAATGAACTAAAATACTTTTATTTTAGTAAAATGATAAAATCACTTTTACTTTAAATCGAAGTACATCTCCAACAATTACACCAAACAACATTATCATACAACAAGCAGATAACATAACGTACTTATGTATTTTCCTAGACAGACGACAAACTTGGTGCAAGCATATTGAAGCTAAACAAATTCAGATAAAGCTTCAAGTCTCTAAGTTGTATTGGCTCATTAATAACAGTTCCTCACTATGCTTGGAGTATAAACTTCTTTTGTATAACACCATCATAAAATCAATATGGACTTAGGGTAACCAACTATCTGGTAATGCTAGTGCTTCAAATATTGAAATTGTACAAAGAGCTCAGTCAAAAATACTGAAAACAACCACTGGTGCCCCATAGTATATAAGGATTTAAAGTATCCACGGAGATCTACAAATTCCCGTAATTAATGCTGGATTTGACAATATAAGAAAAAAATACAATAAAAGACTGACAGAATATGTTAATGCCTTAGCAAAGAATCTCGCACTTCTATCCATTACTCCCCGTCTAAAAAAACTGACCGTCTAGCCATTAATTAATATTCAATAGCTTGCAGTAAAAGCCGCACCTTTCTTTTTAGTAATCTGCAAAAGTTGAACCACTTTCTTGAAAAACCACCTAACATTCACTCCAATGAAATTTAACCCATTGATCTAAATGACGTTCGTGATATAAGGTTTACTTATTTTATTTTATTTTATGCAATGTATAATTAAAATAAAAATTTGTAATATTATGTAATTAGTAATAAGATGTTTAAAATAAAATAAAAAATAAAATAAATATAAAAAATCAGCGTAAACAGTATATCATGCAAAATCAGATACCAACGCTAAAACGACCAGTGGCGTTTATTATCGATGTATCAATAACTACATGATCAATGAAAAATTTCCTTCACTAAGTATCGAAAAACAACAAAAAGCGATCTTGATCTTAACTCAGGGTATTACCAAAAACCAATAGCGGAAGAGAGCAGAAAGTATACGGCATTTTTAATGATATGCGATTTGTACAATTTCAAACTTATCGGATCTTCTCAACTTCATCTGTAAAACCAAATGATTTAACAAGGATAACAAAGGTTAGCAATTTGCCTCTCTCTACATAATAATTGACGGCATTACAATGGCCAATATATGCCTCCGAGTGAAAGTGCTGACAACTGTCAGCACACGTCTTTTGAACCTAACCGAACTCTTTACGTAAACCAACCCTTTAATACATTTCGTATGAAATCACAAAAACATCTACTTCACATGCAAAATGAATTTTATATTTCCGCTGGCAACCAAACCCATTAAGGACATTGTAAAGACGCAAGCTTTTGTTCATTCAAGGAAAATTACACAACATAAAAATAAAGAAGTTTTACAGTTAATCAACGTAATTGAACCAGCACGAAAACTAAAACGTATAATAACACCCTTTGACCTCACTAAGTAATAAAACCTAGCGCCGTTAGCATTAATGTGCTTATATTTGTAAATCATCAAACTAAAAATGCTTGTTAAAAATATTAAGTAGTTGTGTTAATGAAAAAAAAAAATTAAAAAAAAAGAAAAGAAAATATTAGGTGATCACCATACTAGTATATACTAAATGTTTAATATTTATTTTAATCAAATCTTGTCTTAGTAGGAGTCGTCTAGTAATTTTGAAATACTTTTTTATCTAATTATACCTATGTTGTACATATTTTTTTGTTATTATAGTCTTTTTTTAGAAGATATGCACGAATCGAGGGAAATAAGTTCTATTAAGCTGCTATTTCAAACAATTCAAGAATTTTTTTGTGTGTTTATAATTATCATTAGATCGATTGAGCGATTTGGAAGAAAATCAACAAAAAATATTATTTGTAGAGCAGATTAAATTAAAAAGATTTTTACAGACTATTCGCCATTTCATTGGTTTTACGAAGGAATTAATAAACCTAGCCTTTTTTATTGCTTTAAATATTTTTCAAAAATACAATTTAGTAAAAAAAAATATGTATATGCTTGTATCATATCGTATTGTCACTTATAAATAAATTCCAGCAATAACTTTTTAATTTCACTTACCTAGTAATAATTTATGCTCAAAATCATTTGAAAACGTTTTTCGTACATAAAAGTCGAGATGGCTCCATAGTAAATACAAACACTGTTCTGTTACAAATACACAAAGCGATAGCGCGTCTCTTGTTGTACACAAGCACTGGTTCATATTAAAAAAACTTTTTACTAAAAAATATAAAAATTTAAATACAAAACAACCTAATGTTTTAATTATATTAACTTTACCATATTTATGTGTTACCAATTCATCACCGTTAATGTCTTGTGGTACAGCTTTTTGGCACAATAAGTTATCTGCTGTATAATTTTGGTTATAAACAAACTCTACAGAGCTTTTTAGTTGATCGATTATAACATTTAAATAATGGATTATTTTATTTGAATTATTTAAATTATCGTTACTTTGAATTGTTTCTAAGAACATTATTCCATTAATTCTGCGATCCGTAGAATGATCAGAAATTGCATTACAACAAAATAATGACAAATTAGCAGCTATTTCAAAAAAAGTTTTTATGTATTTATCCTTAGTAGCATCATTAATGGGTCCTTTAATATATTGCAATCTTAACATTTCTTTAAATGTATTCTCGTTAACTAAAAATTGACTTAACGAAGAAAGCATCAATTTATGTGTACGATATAAATTAATGTCACTGTGTTCAGTTGCATGTATTTCACTAAGAGAGAATATATTCTAAACAAATAGAATTCACATATTAAAAAATTTATAAATCACATATAATTTCTTAATATTGATACTTAATTAATGCCAAGCTTTAAAAAGATATACGATGAGAGTACCGAAAGTTCGCTTAGTTGTCTCCAAATTTAACAAAAATAATTTTCTACTTAATTAGCACACTTTAATCTTAATTTTTTATTATTTTTACATAACTTCAGAGACCGAAAATAGCAGTTATTTTAAAATTTTTTGTGAAAAAAAGCAGCAACAAAAAGTTGTCTAAACTCTTATTTAAGTAAATAGTTATCATTCTAACAACTTTTATCCTTAATATTATGCATGCTTTTTATATATGAGCTTTTTAAAATAAAACTCAAAAAATAATAATTAAATTTGATTTTTATTATATTCATCAAAAATAATAATTATTATATGCCTTTTATTTTTTTCGCGCAGAAATAACTCTTAAAATTTGCTTCTTATTTTAAAACGCACAAATAACTGGTATACTTGCGTTATATAATATAAAAAGCAAGAGTATCGCGCAAATTGTGCGCGATATTTTTAAAATGAAAATATAAAATGCAATTTTCATACAAGGTAGTTGTTTTTGCAATTCCGTAGAAAATGTTTGAAAAGGTTGGTGCAGGTAAAGATTTAGTTTAGTTTTTTGTTTTTGTATTTTGCATACAAATTTGTTCTCCTACAAAATACAAAGTTAAATACAAAATATGAATCCAAAATACAAAAACAAAAAACTGAACTAAATCTTTACCTGCACCAACCTTTTCAAACATTTTCTACGGAATTGCAAAAACAACTACCTTGTATGAAAATTGCATTTTATATTTTCATTTTAAAAATATCGCGCAGAATTTGCGCGATACTCTTGCTTTTTATATTATATAACGCAAGTATACCAGTTATTTGTGCGTTTTAAAATAAGAAGCAAATTTTAAGAGTTATTTCTGCGCGAAAAAAATAAAAGGCATATAATAGTTATTATTTTTGATGAATATAATAAAAATCAAATTTAATTATTATTTTTTGAGTTTTATTTTAAAATGCATATGATAACACTTATAAGATGATTTTTATTTTTTTTATGATAACTGTTACGGTCCCTGCATAACTTAGAACATAACCGCTAGATCCACTTTTTAAAACATTCCTTAAATTTAATTTTTTTTTTGCCTGTAACTTCCGAGATTAGTTATCTCCTTATTATTGTGAAAGACCCTCCCCAGAAATTACGAATTTCTTGTGTCTCTGAGAGCGCAATAAGGTTATTCGTTTTCATATTAAGAAATATTGAAGTATTCTATGCTTCATCATCTGTTACAGTTTTATTGAAGATGCTTGACTCTTCATTTTCAAACTTTTGAAGACAATATTCGGCAAACTGCACACGCAAGCTTTAGTGAACATCCAAAGGGAACGCATCGATATGATTTAGACGTGTATCCAAGATTCGCGAAGAGCTGGCATTCAAGCTAAGTTCATGTACAATTATTTTCTGAATTACCCATAGATCTCTATCAATTTTAGGCAAAAATTTTGGACGACCTTCATATTCGTCTTCCATAGAAGAATGTTCAGTCTAGAATGTGCGAAACCACTCCGAGATTGTCGAAAGTGATAGTGCATTCTTTTTATATAATATTTGACACTTATTAAACATTTATATATTCTTAAGTTTACGCCGAAATTTGTAACGAATGGAAAACCAAATCTATTGTAGCAATGTTCGCATCAAATTTTTGTTAGCAATCTTTCGCTTTATTTTAATTTCGACTGCGGCATGGATTAAGCTTCAAATAAAATATTACAATTAATGTCTAATAAGCTAGTATTTCTTCATTTGTCAAAAATGTATACCGCGTTACTAACTAAGCGAACTTTTGTTAGTCCCTCCGTATTATACGCTATATTATATGTGTTGTTTTACTATATAAAAAAGACTTAATGTGCAGCACAATTCTCTACATTTAGATTTGGCAAACAAAATATTATTATTTTTAAATCATTTCTGAATAGTTGCTTAGTTTAATTAAAATGGTTATTTTTACGATATAATAGAACCAAAAAAAATCCTGGATATGAGATATATGAACATATAACAGTTTTTCTAATACTTGTTGTTTATAACATACTTACCTGATTTATTGTACGAGCAACAAGTCCAGTAATCGCTGCATATTCTTGTAATGGTTCTAGTTGCATGAATGGTGTTCCACTTCTTAATACGGTTTCGACCATTCCACAATGTGCCAACAAAAAGTGTGTCACCTGCGATATTGCTGAGTGATTTTTTTTGCCTAATGTTGATATTATACATTCACAAAAATTTAAAGCTGGAAAAAGGATATGACGATATCGCATATCAATTGAAGGAATGAAATCATTTAAATCATTATCCTCCATTAAATCATTCCTATTTTGAAAATCGGGATACATATCATATACTTTCATATTAGATAAAACATGTAAAACTTTTTCAGTTAATAATAGCTCAGCACCCATATGACAACTAGCTAAACGCAAAAGCATTGACATCTTTGATTCGTAAACATAAAGGGATTTTATATTTTTCGGAGATTTTTTTAAAACTAAACAAAGATTATCATCTGATTTTAATAAGCTTTCAATTAAATGAGCTAAATAGCCGCGTTTAGCGAAAAAAGTAATAAAATCTGACATTGAACCCAATTCTAATAGACCGTCTATGCATGATAATGCTGTCATTTTGCAGATGTCATGACCAGTGATACAATCACTACATATAATATCTATTAACTTTTCTCCAAATGATAAAAAAATCTCTACTGTTAGTTGAATTAGTGCTGATTCATTATGAGGAACATCCTTGACTATTGATTTATCCAACCCTAATATATATCTGAAAATTATAGGATATTTAAAAGACATTAAGTAATTTACCTATACCATTTTAGAACAAAATTCAAAACAACGTTTTATATGAAACTTACATTTCGTTAGTTATATCTTCTTTAGAATTTCGATTGTGACATCCTTTTATAATTCTTAAGTAATTTAAAAGAGATGCATATAAATTAATTCGTAACTTTTGCGAAGCTCCTCCACTTATTATTATCCATTCTAATATATTTTTCAGAATAAATTTCAAACTAAGCGAATTTGATTTAGTTGACATTGTTTTATGTTCATCCTCTAATGTATCCAAACGGTTTTTAGGGGTATTATCTTTTTCTGCAACTAAATAAATTTATTAACAATATTTTTATTGGATGTATATATTACCAATTCTTCTTAAAGTCTGATAATTATAACGTAAGTTGACTAAAAGTAATAACATAGTTCCTGAAGTTAATATGGAAACCTCAAATATCGGTTGAATTGGTACAATTTTACTTAGTAATTTTTGTAATATTTCGAGTATAAGTTCTTGTTTGGTATTTATTGATAAAGCTAATTCTGGAGCACAGCTGAATAAAATTTCCGTAACCTAGAAAAACTTAAAATAAAATAAATATAAATAAATAAATATGCTATTACCTGACACCAAGCTTCAATAAATTTAATAGTTGCAAAACTTTTACATCTTCCGTTATTAATTTGAAGAGCAAAATATAATAACACTTTGATTTCGTTCAATATATGTTTACGTTGACCAGTGGCTATTGTAGTTTGAACAGTACGTAATTCGTCATGCAAAAGTTGATCTAATTTTTTAATACTAATTTGTTTCAGTCCTTCTTCGTTTTCAATCTCACAATCATGGAGAATTTGAGATATGAGAGAACCGTCAAAAAATTCCAGTCTTGGGATGGAATGATTTACTACTTCGAAAGATATCATATCCAGCAAGTTGCATAAAATTAGGTTTAATGACTTTTCGGATTGCTGTTTGCATATAAACTTATCAGTTAGTAAGTTTGAAGATTGTGGACATAAATTATTTATATCCATCGGTATGTTATTATGATAACCGTTTTTGTCGGTACTCACTAATAATTCGCACAAATACTGGAATCTGCTTATTTGACAATTCGACGAAGTAACTTTCAATTCTATAGCAATACATTTCAGCACATAACTCATTTGCCTTAAAATATGTGGCTCTTTCATATAAGAAAAAGGGAAAGCACAAATGTGACGACTCATAAAATCACCACAGCTGCGTAAATAACGTAATATTGTTTCTGATGTTTTCTGGTTAGCACATAATGAGTAGATAAAATAATAACAACGTTCAATAAATCTCTCAAAATTGTTATCGTAAGCTTTATCTTGTACCTAAAACAACAAAAGAAGAAAAAAGTAAAATATGATATGAATGTTAATTTATATTACAAACCTCTAAGTAATTATCTAATAATGATATTATGGATTTTAAACAGTTACATGATACGTCAATAACTCGCATTTTTTGAGTCTGATTAAAATCCTTTGAGGTATCGAACCCCAGCAAAAAATGGGTTAGATTTGGAGCTGGTTGATATAAACCTTCTTGAAGAAAATCTATAACTGATTCTTTGAGTTCCAATTCTTTTTTAAGAGCTTGATTTGCTGAAATAGATTCCATTTCAGAGTATTGCAATGGGAGCGTAATATCATGTTCAAGACATTCCATAAATCCATTTCGAATTTCTGTTTGAATTTGAATATTTTCAGTTAACATGTCAAGTATTTGGTGAGTAACTTTTGGTTGCTTAGAAATAATTTTTAAAATTTTAATGGCATTGTAGCGATGCTTGGGAAGCCAATTATAGGTAACAAATTTAGTTGTATTTAATATATGATCCGGATTACCGCTGCGTGGATTCACATCCAGCAGAATATTTTTCAACCCTGATAATAATATTGTGTTATTAGTTGTTGAATGGTACTCAAAAAACGAGTCTTGTTTTTCTAGTCCTAATTTTAATATTTTTAAGCAATGCAACCCACATTCTTCCAAATCATTTTTTTCATTAAATTTAGTATATTCATCTAATTTAAGCCTTGTTTCATCTATTATTAATAAAATCAAGTGTAGCATTTCGGATTTTGTATGCAGCTGCAGCATAATATGATATCCTGGTAATTGATCTCTTTTATTTTTAACGAGATCTTGATTATGAATTTCGTATATTTCTAATAGATAACGCAATATTTTCAAACATTTTTCCGCAATTTGCCATTTTTCAATCGTATTTTTATAGTTTCTTTTTAAATTTAAGTAAAAAAAATAGCAATTACTAATTTATTCATTTTTAAGTAAATATATTTGCATGCATATATTAGGGTGAATGTTATTTACGAATATCTTAAAATGTTGTTTGTCATTCGTCAAATTGTTGGAACATTCATAAAACTGTTTAATATGAATTGTTAATTAATCGAATAATGATCAGACATCGTTTACTGAGCATTAAATTTGAATAAGTGCCTTTTTTTTCAATTTTTAACTTTAACCCGTCATTATCAGTGACCTAAATGTCGAGAAGAAAAACCGGTTTTAGATACAAGCTCAGCCCCAATTTAACTTAAATGAATGAATTTTAAACGCACAGTGTTATTAATATTGTATATTAATAGCAAATATGTTTAATACCAACGCATGGAAAGAAAAGTTATTTTCTAAAACTTCAAGCTCAATGAACCCATCTATAAACATCATATTTAATGATTTTATAAATATTGCAACAATTTCGTTGAATGGCAACCAAGATCCGAACATCCATACATACTAAAAATACTCTAGTAAATACATAAACAATCTTACCGAGTGTTAAACTTCAAAAATATTTCATTTACAATAAATGTTAAATAAGGTTCCATTCCGGGTTTTCGGGACCCAGATCCCAAGTTGTTTGGTATTCCCATTTTTATTAAAGTATATAATAAATCGAGTATGCTTTGAGTGAGCGGATATATCTCTAAGCGGCATTCATTCTGTTCGATTTCGACTTGTAAATTGCACATATCTAAAACAAAATAAATTTTTAATTTTAAAATTTTTAAACTGGATAGTTCATTTCAATACTATACATTATGTAGTTAATTAAATGATTCTTGCTATGATAATATAAGTTCATAAATAAAGCGTGTTGCCTAAATAATAGCATATAAGGTTTCCTTTGTTTAATAAACAAAATGAATCGTACGAGTATGAGAGAGAAGAAGCAGAATAGTTTCATTTTTAATATTTACCGAGAAACGAGTGTTCCTAATAAAAAATATTAATAAAAAATTTGCAATGACTTCATAATATTCTATGATTACTTATTTATGAATAAACAAATATAAATGCTTGTAAATTTTATTTATTTATATTATTTATGTACTTCTCTAATTGTAACAAATATGATACATTTGTTACATAAATATAACATAAATATAAAACTATTAAGTACTAAATTTTGTTGGCAAAGCGTTTAAAAAAAACAAATTCAAAACAAATTCTCCAAAAACCTATAAAATAATATCTATATATTGACTGTGGTATTGATCCAAAATGAAAATCAGAAAAGTATTCATCATTATATACGATTGAGAAATTTTTATGCTTGAAAGATAAAAAAGAAAGTATTACTATAGATATATAGTACTATAGATAGTACTTTCTATGTGAAATTTACAAAAATTTTCATATCCAAATAAACAAGTTAAACCTTTTATTTGTTCACATGAGTAAACATAAATAAATGCAGAATAAAACAAATGCAAATGTTTTTATAGCGCAATCAGCATTTAAAATTCAATATAATAATTAATTCTTAGTACAACATGTCACCAACAGTGCACAAAGTCAAACATCTAACAAACATCTAAATTTACTTGTATATGGGTCATTCTTTTACAAACCGGACGGATTTTGGCAAAAATTGACCTCATGATCTCCGATTTGGCTGAAATTTTATTTTATGAGCTCCTTTCATAAAATAAGAAGACCCGTATCTCGGGAAAAAATTTTATGATGTTTTTTCTAGGAGATATGGACTCATGGGGTTTTGAGAATTGGCATAGTAGACACATTTTCAAATGACTATATCTCAAGTTCTATAAAAGCTAGAAACTTGAAATTTACAGCGTTTCAAAGATAATTGATTGAACTTTTATGAAATTGTTTAAACAATTAAAATTGTTAATATTTAAGTACTAATATACTAAAAGATATATACAACAAAAATTAATTTAGATAACCATTTAAAAAATTAAAAAAGGGAACCAATCAAAAAAATTTATTAGTGAACAGTTATTTTGTGATTTTCCTTTTCTTTTGCCATGTGACATGTGAAACCCATCATGGGCCGTCAATACCATTGTCATAATACCGGAGTGCAAGACTCTTACCGACTAAAACACCAAATATCTTTTCAGGGAGACCTTGCTGGGATCACTTTCGTATTACTTCGGGAAGGCTCCTGTTTTTTTTTGGCTTTTCGCCATCTTTGTTTGCTAATAGCCTGCAGCCAAACTTCTGCATCATCTTAGCTTATCTTGCTCTTCTGCGTCGAGACATATCTGTTGTACATCTAGTCCTAACTATATACCCTAGAATTTTATTAACAATTTGTTCCGAAACTTTTTCTTGGTACGTAATGCAAATTATTAATATGACCCATTTTATTTTTAATAATTTTCTGCATACAACGCGGAAGCGTTTGTTGCAAAATATTATTGATTTCAGCCATTGAACTCAATACTCAGTTTTTATTGCAGAACGTCATGTTTTCAAATATTGGCAGTTGCAACAGATAACTGACCTAGTTATATTTTACTTTCTATTTTCTGCGTAATAGCAATAAAATAATGGAAATTTCCAATCATATATTACGTACATGATAAATGTTTCACTGTTTCAAAAAGGTGAAATTGGTGGGAAGTTTAGAACTTCGTTCGTCAGCACTACAAATGGCTAGTGATGGTTTCCTCTCTGCGCTAGTTCTACACTGTCTGTATCGCGCCTATGGTTGACCGACCTGGTATAATCCCGTGTTGTCAAGCAGACGTATTCAATACATCGGGGCTTTATCATTCGCTCCAATAGCTTTCCAGCTGTATTTAACATACAAAGAGAGCAGTATGTATCTGTAGATGCTGGCTTAGCTTTGCGTTATGTTATTAGCATGAGCTGTTGTATTGTCCATATCTCAGGAAAATCTCTTTCTTCTAGACAAGCGTTGTACATTTTTAGCAATACCTGCGGCCGCTTATGTGCAATTGTTTCAAGCACTTCGGAGTGTAATCCGTCTGTTCTTGGTGTTTTTTGTCTCTTTAGAGTTTTGGCAGAAATATTGAGCTCATCGGTCGTGATCGGAGGCGGAACTTCATTCAAGCTTTGCTCTTTACGATTTAGTATTTCATTGTGCATTGGAAATAGTGGGTCCACTATATTTCCTTTGTCATCGCTCTGCAGTGTTGAGTTCAAAGACTTAACGCCTAGATTTTTCATTACGATCTTGTAGCCAGTTCCACAGGGATTGTTATAAGGTGATAACTTCAGATTAGTTAAAGATAATAAAAAAATTGAACACATTTTTGAAATAGCATTAAAATCCACATCAATTCAAAATTTCATAAAAGTCTGGTAACTCTGGAAACTGATTGCCATTTTTTACTTAAGCATTGCGCATCTGCATAGACATAATTGCATACCTGCTTAATGCATCTACATGACACATTTTTAAATCAGAGCGATGTTCGATTTTGTAATCGTATTTGTAGGCTTATCCTACTTAATTTAATTCTTTATTTATTTATTTAAGCAAGAAATAATTATTCAATTTCGTGTGTTGAAATTACACGTGTCTGTTGTTTTATTCTTCGTTTTCCCAAACGTAAAAAGAATGACAACCTTATTTTTACTAAATAAAAATATTATTAGTTTTTAAAAATTTTCTTTTATGGCCAACTCATCTTATTTTCAATAATTTACTTGTCTGTGTTTGCATGTCCAACCCATATCATTTTAAACATTAATGTGAATATGCAACCGCCACATCACTCCCCTGGCAGTGAACGAGTCATGTCACGTTAAGTCAAATTTAACATATCTTCTTGGAACCTGCACTAATCGTCCCTTTCGTGTTACATTACTACGTTTGGTATCTATTCGAGTATCTGCCATATTTTCTGTACGTGATGGGTTTACGTCTTCATTGCCACTTGATAAAAATGCTGCCTTTACCCGATCAACACTCACCTGCACAGGTTTTCCTTTGATTAGAAGATCATACGTCTTGTCTGAACGCCTCACTACCTTAAATGGCCCATCGTACGGTGTTTGTAATGGTGGGCGGACATTATCATCCCTCAAAAACACGTGAGTAGCATGTTGCAGTTCCTTCTGTAAAAATACCTTTTCATTTAAGTGATATGATGTAGGAACTGATCGTATTTGAGACATCATCTGTCTCATGTTTTCCACGAATTCATGTTCTGGGATTTTGTCATTATTACCTTGTTCCAGGAAATCGCTCGACAACCGCAAAGTTTTCCCATATACCATTTCTGGTGGAGTTGCTTTCAGGTCTTCTTTAAAGATATTTCGAAACGCTAACACAATCAAAGGTATTGCATCAGACCATTGATGTTCATGCTTACATTTCATTGCAGTTTTCAGAGTCCGATGAAAACGTTCAATTAAACCATTTGCTTGAGGATGACGTAGACTAGTACGAATATGTTTGGCACCCATGAGTTTCGCTAATTCATACAGTGATGACTTGAACTGTCTTGCTTGATCTGTTATGATCTGCTTTGGAACGCCAAAGTGCATAATCCAACCATTGATGAGCGCTGTGGCCACCGTGCTGGCATGTATATCCTCGATAGGGACTACCGCTGGCCATTTGGTAAACCGATCGATACATGTAAGGCAATATCGGTAGAGGCCCAATGAGGTCAATGTGGTTTACAGCGAACCGCTCACTTGGTACGTCAAAATTCAAAATTGCTGATTTATTATGTTGCGTGACTTTTGCTCGTTGACACGGAAGACATAATTTAACTCGCTCCGCAAAGTCTTTAGCCATGCCCGGCCTTATGAAACGTTCTGCTATTTGCTTAATAGTGGCTCGCCGACCAGCATGTGCCAAATTATGTATTGAATTAAAGACGCGTTGTCTAAACTGTTCAGTTACAAAAGGACGCACACGATTTGATGATACATCACATGCAATTTCCTTAGATGAATTTGGAATGAGTATCCATTTCAGTTGAAGTGCAGATTTATTCGTATTCGCTTCGCTTCGATGTGCGTGACAGAAAATTAGCTACCGCATTATTGTTGCCAGCTATATGCATAATGTCAGTTGCGAAAAAACAGGCTGACCAGTGGTGATAATCTGGTGGCGAACCGTAGTCTTAGGCTCGTTATTGTAATTGTATGAAACAGGCATTGTCACCTCCTTGAATGAGTTTAGTAGCTCTTTGAATTTGTGGTCGTTTTGAATGGAAAATACTGGCTCATATCCAGTGTGTTCCGATGCACATTGGGTACTCAACTTTGTTTGCGTATCGCTCAGGCATCTAGTTTTACATCTACTACAAGACCGAAATATTTCAAGAAATCAGCACCCAAAATTGGTTTTGAAACATTGGCGATTATAAAATTCCAATCAAACTTCCTACGAAGGCCCAAATTCATTGATAGGAACTTGTTACCGTAGGTTGGAATAGCCGAACCATTCGCTGCATACAATGATCGCGATGTTGATTGTAGCTTGGAGTTTTTGAATCGAGACACTGGTAGTATTGAGAGATCAGCTCCAGTATCTATCAGGAACTTGAATTGTGTGTTTCGATCCGTGATGAGCAGGCGGCTAGACGTATTTACAAATTGGACTTCATCGCCCGCCACCGATGAAGTCTCTATTGATTTCCCTGTTGATTGAAGCTACACGTCAGAGAACATTTTTTTACTTCCGCACCGAAACGATAGTGATAGTAACACATAGGATAACGTTTTACTTGCGAATCAGTACGGGTCGAATGACGTCGCTTGCGATCTGGAGTTTGAGATCTTGTTCTGCTTTGTCTTTGTGCAGTTTTTATCTCCGCAACCTGCTTACTCAAGGCTTTCATGATATGATCATTATTCTGTGCAGATGTGTTGATGACAGCTACAGAATTGTAGATTCCCATTTCCAACATCAGATCTGCCTGTTGCGCACATTTGTCCAAGTCAGCCTCCGAAATTGAAACGACTGCTCGCACTGCTTCAGGCAAACGATCCAGCCACATTTGTTTTATTGCTCCATCATTCATGGCGTCGCTGGCTAAATCTCGCATGGTGCGCAACAAATGTGTTGGCTTGCTATCACCTAACTGGCATTCCTGAACTAATCGCCGCAGTTTTCGATTTTGGAAGTCTGCAAAGTCTTGAATTAATCGCTTCTTAACCGCTTCGTATTTTTCTACAGCAGGGGGAGCACGAAAAATGTCCGCGACATTTCTTAAAGTAGCGCTGTCAAGACTGCCGACTACATGATCATATTTGGTTTGGTCAGTTGTGATTCCTGCGTTTCTGAATTGGGATTCCATCTGGATGAAGTAGAGATCTGGATCCCTCTTACAGAATGCTGGTGCCTTGATTCCGATACGACAAATGTCACCTCGATTTTGTTCGTTTCTGTAATCACTTGATACATTACTATCTGCAGGAATGTTATTTCTATCCGATGCGCTATTATTGCTTGCTTCGGCTTGCGACATTTTTGATCACGTCGGAGTCACCAATTGTAGGCTTATCCTACTTAATTTAATTCTTTATTTATTTATTTAAGCAAGAAATAATTATTCAATTTTGTGTGTTGAAATTACACGTGTCTGTTGTTTTATTCTTCGTTTTCCCAAACGTAAAAAGAATGACAACCTTATTTTTACTAAATAAAAATATTGATTTTTAAAAATTTTCTTTTATGGCCAACTCATCTTATTTACAATAATTTACTTGTCTGTGTTTGCATGTCCAACCCATATCATTTTAAACATTAATGTGAATATGCAACCGCCACATATTCTTCAAAAATAGAATACACATTACTACGCATGTAGACAAATCTTTTCTGTCAGAGTTGTAGCAAATGCATTACAGTCTCCTAACAGGTATAGTCGAAACTTGTTAAGCGCCTCAATGACAACTAAAACTTCCAAATAATAAAGGTGGAGGTTTCCATAATCTGTAGATTCTTGCACTAGAATCGCTCCGAAACCAACTATCGATGCGTCCACATAGGCTTCTATTTCATAATGCTGGTTAAAGATACCTAAAACTGGTTTACTATTCAGATTAGATTTCAAACTCTCAAATGCTACCATAAAATTCGAACTTTTGACATTTTTTCTTAATCAGGTAATAATTTCGCTATGATTGAAAAGTTCGATATGAACTTGCAGAAGTAACCTGCCAGTTCCAGAAAGCTCTCTAACTGTTTTAAAATTGATGGTAACTTAAATTTTAGCTATATCCTAACTTTTACAGATGGTGCAATTTTCTGATAAGAAATGGTGTACCCCAAAAGTTCAAATTGTCGTTTTAAAAATTGACATCTCTTAAAATTAATTTTTATTAGTCCATTTTCGTGAAAATGAAATAAAATGAAAATAAAAACAGCATTTAGGTGTTGTTGATAGACTGTTTTCGAATTGCACAATCCAAATGGCACTTCACGAAATTGATATTAGGGGTATTCAAGCAACTGATTAGTAGATGATTACAACAAAAATTTGCATACAAAAATGAAACTAAGCAGAGAATCAACTATTTCGGAGATTCTCAGATTAGTACAAATTTGATTAATAGTGCTGCCAGTACCAAGTGTCGGCGCTATAAGCATAGGGTGTCTCAAAAAGAAAATTCAAAAATAATAACATAAATTAATAAATAAAATTCAGTAAAACTATAATTTTTAAAGGGATTATTAAACTTCACGAATATTTGAGTATTTCATTATTAACATATATTTCGCTTTTGCTGTTGATACAAGTGCTGCCAACGCATTTGCAAACACAAACTAATCAGATTACGCATTTTGGGTCGTTCAAGCAACTGATTCACATCAAAATGCTAATTTTTTTTATTTGAAGTTTTTGAATCAATTAAGGAACTAATCAGTTGCCTGATGTGCCATTTTTTTACAATAACGATCGGACTACTGAATTCAGAACGATTCTTCAATACCATGTCGAAGCCATTATTTTAGTTGCACGTTAACAATATCTCGTTCTTCAAACGGAAGCCTTCTTGGGTCACAAAGTATATTTTTACTCTTTTTAAAAATTACCTTGTTGCATTCGATAATGAAGTAATTTTGTTTACTATGTCCTTGCTAGTCATAACATCAACGTCTAATAAATATGTGGACACAACATGAAATAACAAATTTGAATGACTGTCCCTATGCAACAACATTGCGACAGCAATTTCCTATAGGTGTGACGGAACTTTTCTCTAAACCGATAAGCTGAAGGTTTTGACTTTTTAGTAATTCATATGCTTGCATCGTCGTTAAATAACATTTACTACCGGTATCGATCAATGACAGCAAAGTTTGAATTACGACAACAATACTTTTAAGCATAATAAGATCTTTTTCATCTTTTACAATTCGTACATTTTCGTCTTTGCTTTTCAATGCACATTCGTTGGTTTTATGACCAGATTTATTACAATTAAAATATGTAATGGCTTTATCTTTATTGTTGCATTCGCTACATTTATGACTTCTTTCACTACAGTTATACCACTTGACATCAAATTTACACACAAAATAAAAATCATTTAAGCAAGTCATGGGCTTTTTTTATAATTTCTTTTCCCGTTTATTTTTGGCACACACGCAAATGAATTTCACAACACGCAAACTATCTCGACTGAGTCCCCAAAATTTATGGGTTTATTTATTAAAGAATATATAAACATGTTTATAAACATGAATATGTTATTTAAAAACAATATTTATCTCAACTGTAATGATTAACATCAAGAAACCATGCAAAAAATTTTATGCCTATCATTTACAGAGCTTGAGATATGGCCATTTAAAAATTGATTTAAAATGTGAATTCTAAATTTTGTTTAAAGATTTGGGCATCAGACGTGCTTCTGCAAAGCTAGTGTTGAAAGATCTGAGCTTCATGCGGATAAGGGATCGCATAATTGCTAAAGCCGAGGCTTAGTTTTAAAACTTCGAAACGAAATCCATATTCATTGTTTTGATTAATTACAATGGTTTTGTTCATAATGAATTCTTGTTAGAAAACTAGACAGTCAACAAATTATTATTTGGGCGTTATAAGACGTTTGTGCAAAGCAGTTTGCTTGAATGTGTTAGTAATCAATTTCTGGATTTTGCATCATGATAACCCAATTTCACACGCCATCATTGCAAGTTTTTGACCAAGAACATCACGAATACTATTAAAAGTCATTAACTCACAAATAATTTAAAGCGATTATTAAAAATTTAAATTAAAATCATTGTGAATCACAATTCTGTGAAAGAGTTAAAAATGAAAACCATATCCTAAACCAAACAGCGTTGCTAACTTTCGAAATAACGCGCTTAAGCCTAAGCAGACAGAGCCTTTTAAGTTGTAACCCCAATGACATTTATGAAACAAACTGTACAATACTAATGTAAAAATTTAAGTTCATACTGACACATAACAGTATTCACAGATCGAGCTGATACA